CACTCGTGTGGGTACTTCTAAGCCTTGAAGCAAGATACAGTTCGGAGGTTTGTGCCGAGCTTGTCACCGTAGATGACAAGGGTTTCGTTAGTTGGTAGGTTAAGCCGAATGACCTTTTCGTAATACGTGATATCGGTATGGTGAGGACCTAACCATCCACGCCAATGATAACTGATGCCTGCAATTAGCTACACCTAATTTTAAAATTATAACCTAACTACTTAACTAACTAAAATGCACCTAAGCAGTGTACCTAGTCAAATTATAGAATAGTTTGAGTAAGTCGGGTGTTGATCACAAGGAACGATTTTAAATAATTAATGTACCTACTATTAAACTAACCTAATTTCTAATCATGGAAGGGGTTTTATTTAATTTTGCAAGTTTAGAAAAACTTAATTCTTTAACACAAATTCAATCAATAAACAAAACACTTATGTTAGTTCGAATCCACTTCCCCTCAATGGTTTGTTAATTAGTTATGACAATTACTGTTGGTTACCAATTAAGATCGTATTAGCAATTCACTTCTAAATTTACTAACATTAATTAATTCATGTAAGTCTATGTATGGTCACACAATAGTTAACACAAAATAAATTATTGAATATAATTGGAGCCATGTAAGATTGATTTGGAAAACACACTTACGGTCATAATATGAGTTCTCTAGCACAACTTAATTCAATAGTTCAATTACTTATCTAAGATCCGTTTGATCTTAGCTCTAATAAACTAGTGTTCACTGAAATATTAGTATTCAAATTCATGCAACTTCATATTTACTAACTACACAGAACAAGAATTTAAAGCAATCAAACATTAAATCAGACATGTTAGGTTCAATTAATCAAACACAAGACATAACCAACAAGTAAAGTCAAATCTAAAGTATTAACACCATGAGTTCCAGCTTCATCTAGCTAACAGAAGCAACTAGATTTAGTTGGACATCCTAGCAAATAAACAATCACAATTCATATTCAAAGACATAATTAAATGTACCAAGTCTAGAATCAAGTTATGAACTTCTCTTCTCCCTTGGTGTTGAAAGCCAATTCCAGACCTCTTCTCCCTCTGAATTTCGTCTCCAGGAACCCTCCAAGTTGGCCAAAAGTCTCTCAAGAGTCAAGTCATAATGATTAAGAATATATATAGTTGTTGTAAAATTCGCGGTTCATGTCGTGAATGATACATTCACATCGTGACTTTTTATGAATCCTTATCGGGGAAGGTTTTTTACTTCACGCGTACTTATCTCCCAGAATCTTCATGACACGTCGTGAACTTGTGGTTCACATCGTGATTTTAGTTGATTTCATGGGTTTTTTTTTTTCTTTTATTGTTAAAGCCTCCAAAGTTCCAAACTTTCTCGTTTTTAGTCCCTTTTCTTCAAGAATGCTTCTATTTGGCTGTAAATTATAATTCAAGCTTATAAGTATAATTATTCAATACAAATAACCAAAATATTAATTAAAATATGCTCAAATATTGCCTAAAAACCTGTATAAATATAACAATATCAAAATACACCACACTTATTCTTTTCTTGCCCTCAAGCAAATCTAATTATTTTAAATTCAAACTCTTATCACTAACATCACATAGAACAATCCATTTCAAGCTTAACCATTATGCCAAAACCGCAACGCATGCATTTGTGTCTAAAATTTTCCTAAGGACCCCCCTAATTCTAAATACTCACAATCCTCATAAACACTCACCACTTCTTTTGAGCAACGCTCATTTTATGCATCCCTCCAAATCCATCTGCATAAATCTTTCTAACCTCAATGTATTTTTGTAAAGCTACACAATCATACATAATCTAGAAATTAAATTTTTTTGATACCACAATGAACCATCGAGTCAAGATAATAACACCTCCGTTGTCGTCGAAAGATGTAGGTTTTGCATTCATGAAGTCTTTATAGGAGCACTCCTTCTGGTGTCCTTGACTACCTTCATGATTTTAGGAATGAATACCACTTCCCGACCTTCCAGAATCACCGGTATTAATTTGTGACAAAGCGGCAGTCACAACGGCAGTAACGGCTACCTAGAACATAGCAGGATCGAATTGAGGAGGTGGTGGTGGCGTTGAATCCGTCGAGGAATTATTGCTCTTTTTGTTGGATCTTTTCTTTGGAGGCATCTTGTTCTATATCAGGAAGAAGAAGATGGTAAGTCCCTTAGAATTTCGAATCAAGAGATATAAAACAATGTATATCTCTATATGTTTAGATAAAGTGTGCTACTAAGCGATAAACAAGGAAAGATTACTAATATGAGTAAACTATCGCTAAGAAAGAATGAGTAGCAACACTTGGAACGAATCTCTAATGTATTCAGCTCTAAATAAAATACTCTTATATTTTTTTAAGTTGTTTGTTTTGTTCTATCGACATCTTGTTGTAGGAATACTTGGTAAGTTTTAGGCCTGCTGCAACACCACAGTCACTCCCAAGCACATGTTGGTCATGTCTCGAATGAATATAGTTGATCAGAATATATTGACCCTAGACATGATTACATAACTTCCCAGGTTTAACCGCAGTGTCCAACATCCAAATACTTTTATTTTGTTCTTCACATGATACTGTTTCTGCAATGTAGGTATACTTGTATACTTTTTGTAAAAATACTTATATTTCAAAAGTATACTTTTTAGTTCAGAGCACTTCGTCCCCTTAGTGTTTATAATTGTATACCATGTAAGGTTCGGTATACTTAGTTCACTATAAACAATAGCTCTGATACCAATCTGTCATACCCCCGAACCGTCAGAGCAGATGACGGAAATGTCCGGGGGCGGGTGACGTTATGCGTAGTATCACAACAATCGTATCATAGAAATCAAAGTAAACATAACCATTACATTACAATATGAATAATTACATCTGTTAGAAAACATAGTTTGTATACATCAAAAGTAGCAAAAGATAAAGACAAGACTCCAAAATGCTCTGTCTTCTCCAAAAGTTGACGAAGGTACCTATCTATCGCTGCCCTGAGAATACAAGCGGTTTTAAAAACGTATAAGCATAAAGCTGGTGAGTTCATAAGCATGTTTTTGTATTGGGAACTAGTCACTGAATTTGTACAAATGTTCTTTTCATTATAAGTAAAATGTCATTTGTATCGAAACCCTGATCAATCACCAATAAAATGTATTGCGTTTAAAAGCTCTGGCTATTGCCAGTAAGTGATGTGTTTTACGTTTGAAACCCTGATTACCACCAATAAATGATGTATGTTCTGTTGAAAACCTTGGCTACCACCAGTAAATGATGTATGTTCTATTGAAAACCTTGGCTACCACCAGTAAATGATGTATGTTTTGTTACGTTTGTGTCCCTGGAATACCCTCCAGTGTAATATGTAGGTAGTCTTATTAATTATAATAAAACTATTGAAGAAGGAAAATACCGTAAACAAGGTTAGTTATATTATTGTGAGTTCGTATAGCCATGATAATGTGACTGATGACCTCTGCGACGTTTCTTCAGGCGTCGTATGTTACAAAATTTGTCACCCGAGGCATGCCTGCCTAACCCTGCCTAACTGTAGCTAACAGTTAAGGTGTGGGATTGTCGATCCCGAATAGATCTATTCATAAATTCCACGCTCTCCCTCCAGGAGACTCTGGCTATACTAAATGTAGAGGATTTGCCAGTACTCCGAAGGGTACGATGAAGAGATGTCTCACAATCATGTATTAACTAGTTTACGTGTTATTATGTTGTTCTCGTGTTTGAAATCATTTGTATATGGTGTAGAGTATAAATAATTATACACAAAATAATTATTTATTAAAATACTCTTGTTTTCTGTATGCAGTATTGAATAAACTAAATCTTTCATCGTTTATATGTTTGACTTTGTACGTAGTTTGAATCTGTAAAACCGATAATGACTTCTCCAAACTATACCTATTATAGTTTGACTGGTAAGTTATGTTCATGTACTGTTATGAAAACTACACAATTTTGTTTAGAAAGACGCCCCTTATGCTCCGCATATTACAAAAGGGATAAAGTATCTAGATGTTTGGTGTAAAACCGTTGTAATTGCATCAGTTTTTAAGTTGTGAAAACCTTTATGTTTGGCTTGTATTCCCCCTGAAAACGTTTTAAAAACTATAAAATCATAGGGGTATGAACTCACAGTTAGTTAGATGCAAAGGATTGAACTGTACGATCCTTGACTTGATGTACGTTGCACTTAACTGAATCCTAACATCAAATAAATACATACATGTATCTAAATTAACAATTTTGTTAGATAAAGTGTTAGATAAACACTTGGTTTCAGTTAAGGAATGTTACCGGGACTTAGTTGGATCGAGGAAAACAGGCTTTTCCCTACGAAGAGTTGTTTACGACCGTGAATGGAGTTTACGGTCGAGAATCGGGTTTACGGCCGTGAACTAGGTTTGCGGCTTTTGAAGATCTGGGGGATTACAACCGTAACTCAAGAACAATAGTGCTGGTTTTCGGCTAAAAAGTGTTCCAGAAGCTCCCAAACGGCCCCAAATGACGATTTCTGGCGTTTTTGGGTGAAAGAAGGGCTTTATGGAGTTTACGGTCAAGAGGTTTAGAGAGAGAAAGTGCGTGTTTTCGGCCAAGAAGGTTGAAATGAGGGTGGGGGTCCTGTATTTATAGACCAGGGGTATGGCCGATGGTGGGGTTCACCTGGCACCGACTGTAAATAGAGTTTACGACCATACACAAGTTTACGACCGTAAACAGAGTTTACGGCCGTACACGAGTTTACGGTCGTACACGAGTTTACGGCCGTAAACTCGCCTTGGCCGTGAGCTCGTTGTTTTTCGATGAAATCGTGAGTTTTTCACGCGATTTTTGGTTTTCCGACTCGTATGATATTATAACTATAACCTTAGTTAACTTACTTAACCCAAGAAGTTGACGAAAAATTTAATAAAAATTAAAATTTATTAAAAGATGTGGGTTAAAAATAACGGAAGAAATTTCGGGTTGTCACAGATATGGCTTGGATGGAGAGGATAGTAGAGTAGGAGGGGTAGGTTCCTCGCCATTAAATCTCTCCTTATCCTCTATGGGACCGTCATCATCTATCTCTTCGGCATCCTGAAGAATGCCCTCGTCGTTGGATTCGTTAACTTCCTCTGGATCATCTTCATCGTCCTCTGAGTGATACTCTTCCTCTGAGAGGTCTGCTAGGGTAACTGGAGTGCCCTCGGGGAAGTATGGATGTTCGGCTAGCTATAGTGCGATCTTGTGAAGATCCTCTGGATCGGCAAGTTCCATCCAAGCTGGATGGACATCGAGTAAATCAACCATCTACATAAATTAGTTTTAAGTGTGTTAGTAAGTTTTTTAAATATATACATGTTTTAAAAATGTATAAGTGTTTTAAGTTTGATATTGGTATCCTAAGGTACTAGGTATCTATAGTGAATCTTGAGAAAATGCTTCAATCTCTAAAACTCTCAACCATTGTAGTCTGCCAAAATCCTTGCTCAAGGTTGGTTGTGCACCGGCCCGATCATAAATAACATAGTGAGTTCCAAGTTTATTTATGGTATAGCTTATGTATGGTACTAACCTTATTCAAGGAGTTTAACCTAAAGGGTTGAGTTGGTAGTTTTAGTTGAAGAGATGTTTAGAATTTTATTAAGGGTTCTCATCACGAGTCAGTGTATATATAAAACTCTTATATATTATTGTTGCTGATGTTTGTAGTATTATTAGTATTTGTTTTGTTCCACAAGACTACCAAGCACATATGAGGGCTAGACTGTTAACACCGGATGGCAAGATCATTTTAGAAATTAATCCGTTCTGAAATCCAGTAACCTAAGCGTCCCTTGAAACCAATTACCTCATTCCATAAGTAGTCAAGAAGTAGTGTAATCAATAATAATACTTTTATTAGGAGCTTGTATCTATATTTTTATTCCTATTTCGAGGATACGAGTTCTCTATAGACAATTGATCTTTGATACCAATCTGTCACACCCCTCTGCCGAGTCGGCAGAACATGCTGGGCTGTGTGATTAAGTTCATGTATCACATGTAACCTGAATATATAGCAGAAGTATAACAATAAAAAAATAACATTTGTATTCCATCTTGATGTTCGAATACATGGTTCTTACAAATAATAATATAGTACATCATTGCCTTAAATAGGTAGGTAGACATAACAAAAACTAGTAAACTAGATTGCCTAAAATCCATGACTATCCATCGTCTGAATGCTTGATTACTAATTTCCTGAGAATACATATAGTTTAATAATTAATTTTTAATTTATATTATTAATAAATTAATATGAAATAAATTAGAATTGCTTAATTATTAATCATAATTAATCTGGAATTAATTCAGGATTAATTGAAATTAATTAAAGTTGCAAGGGGTGAAATGTAATTGTTTAGTAGTTGAGTAAAAGAGTAATTCTAGAACCATCCAAGGGAGGACGGTTTTGGGTGCTTCCTTAGGGTTTTCAAAAGCCTATTGGATGCATATAAGGAAAGGATTTAGATTGGGATTAAATTCGTTTACATCTTGTTTGGTCCCTAAGTTACCTAAACAATAAATAGGACCCTTAGGGCACTCCAATTCGTGGAAATTCTTTCCTAGAAGCTTATGAACGATATTATCTTGCTTCTCCTCTCTCCTCAATTGTCTTCTAGTTCTAGTATTTGGGTGTGAGCCATTAGAGACATGATACTTTTGCTTCTAGCTTTCCAAGCTCTTCAGAGGAAGGATTGAAGTGATTTGTTTACTATAACAAATTAAAGGTATGTAACCCTAATTTTTGTGTTTTTGATTATACTAGGGTTTTAGTTACTATTCATTTTAGTTTTGTTATTCATAGTATGTTGCATTCAAAGTGTATGACATAGATCCTTTAGGTTGCATGTTTCCCTTAAGTGTTAAGTGAAATTTCGCAAGCACATTAGTTTTGTAACCTATAAAACCCATCAATCATCACATCAATATTTGTTGTGTTCTATATTAACATATTTAATCCATGAATAATGTTATTATTCTAAAAGTTCATAGTCGGTTATAATTATAGGAGCAATTATGAATTAAGAATAATATGAATTGGATTGGTTGACTTTTACTGTATGAAAGTAGGCAAGTGGTTGTAACCAAGTTTCATAGGTACTTGTTAAAGAATTAGTATTGAACGGACCCGCATAAAGATCATATCATATATCACATTTATGAGTGATACTTAATTAAAAGGTAATATCTTTGTGTCCTTAACACTTGAGATACATAGTGGGACTTAAGTGTAGGGAGTGTTGTGCTTTGATATGGTGAAATGTTGATCCTTAACTAGGAAGTTATAAAAGTCATTTTCAGGTATGGTGTGAACTATGCAAGAGGATTATGTAGCCAAGATGTGATTTGTTCCTCTTATGTGTTGAGAATTAGACATCTAACGCGTGTTACCCAAAGTTGAACTCCAAATGAGATTGATTGCGATCCAAGTCTCATGTTCAATAGGATGTCTATAACATAGGGATAAATGATAAAATTACATTATACATAAATTGAAGCTTTATGATTTTGGGAATTGGATGTTGATAGAATGGCACTAAGTCATATATTACTGGGGGAAGTGACTTGTTGCTAGATGTTCACCACTGTCTATACCAATATATGATGAGTCCTGTGCTAGTGGGATATTGAAAGATCTATATGCCCAAGAGTCATTATGGAATGATATCGCTAGATAATATATGATCCTAAAGGTTCACACTAACAACAACTTGATGCAAATATATTATTTATAAGAATTTGACCTTGATAAATTAATATAATTCTTGTAATTAGGTGGAAATTATTTATTTCATGGAAATATTAACTTTAAATGTGAAGTATCAAAACATATCATAATATATCATAAGCTATGATTTATTATGTCATGTACATCTTTTTGGACCAAAAGGAGTTTTTGTCTTATATGGATTTATATGTTTTATAAGTTATAAAAATTAGAAGAGTTTTTATAGAAAAACTAGCTTCTTCATTTTATAAAATATTCAAGGAGACCATAAAGGAGAAAGAAGACATGATTTTGATTAATTTATTCAATAATTGATTTGATAAAACATGGGTCTTAAAGTGGTATGACCTATGTGATAAAGGCTTAAAATAGAGTTTTAAAAGAACTGGTTATTTACCTTCTTTCACAAGCGAAAACCATAAAATTTATGACTTATCCTCACTATATTCTCTCTAGTTGTTTCTCTTAAAGAGTTTAGATCAAAGCAAGAAGAAGTTGATACTTGCATCCCCCTTTAACTCATTACTTAGGTTTTGACTTAAAGCTTAAGAGTGTTCTTATTATTACAAGAAGGACTAGCATCAATTTCAAGTTGATAAATTGTTGCTAGATACTTCTAGGGAGCTTCTTCTTTGGATCTTAAATCCATCTTCATCAAATTCCTAATTTCAAAAAGGAACCAAAGTCTTCAAAGATTGTTTTACTTTCCTTTTTATGGTTGTTTTAATCTTTCCGAGTCTTACAAAATGATCTTTTGGTGGGAATAAAACTAGTTTTATTTTCTTTAAAAATCAAAGTCTTCCGTTGATATCTTTATGTTTTTGAAACAATTTTGAATAAAAACCCTATAGATCTTCATATTCAATCTTTACATTCACACCTTGTAGATCCAAGATGATCCTATTGAAGTTATCCAAATGATCCCGCACGATGCTTTCTGACATCGTAAGAGTATACAAATGTTGTTTTGATACCACCCAAATCTTGCTTCTGATACAACCTGTTCTTCAGAGAATTGTTCTGATACCTGTCATATAATTTCTCCCAAAGCGCATATGCACTTGTCCGATCCAAAACCTCTCTCACTACTTCGTCTGTCAAACTCAACAAAATAGTATTATGCGCTCTTGCCAGATTATCAACCTTTCTTTTAGCCGCCATGTCCTTTCGCAGTTTCACTTCTCATTCCAGTGTCATTGCACAACCTTTTGGAACTAGAAAACCTTCATCTCTAATATCCACAAAGTGAAATAATTCGAACCATTAAACTTCTCCAGATCAAATTCGTGAGATGCCATCTTCAATCAACAGAACACCTATCGCAGCTCAAATATCACTCGTTAGCGTAAAAACAGACGATACTTGTCAAGTCTTAAGACAAATTTGATGCCACTTGCCAAGTTCTAATGACCCTTAATAGGAAGTAATGCTAATAACACACAAAACCAAAAGCACACAAACACACAATATTTACGTGGTTCAGTCAAGGTGTTCTACGTCTATGGGAAGGAGGGGAGTATTTTTTATTCACATAGTTCTTAAATAGAGATTACAAGTACGACCAACAGAGATTTGACCTACTCACTAAGGATACAAAAGACACACCAAATGACTTAGCATGAATCCCTATTTATAGTGAAAGGATTAGACCTAAAACCCTAATGGACCAAGCCCATAGGCCTATGAATGATGTCAATCAATCACACTCTGTCATGCAGTAGCTTCTGGAACATTCATCTTGGTGACACATCAACCTAGATGGCACATCCATGCCTATGAATGATGCATCTTGGTCATGGATGACACAACCATGCATCAAGGTCCCCCATTACCCCTTATAAAAGATATGTTCCCATGTCATATGATCCATTTACTTTTCAGTTGATTCGTCCTTTGTCACATGCTCCTTTAACCTTAAGTGCTCCATTGAACTCAAATGTTCCATGCAAATGCTCCAAATGCTCAAGTCACATTTAATAGTTGCCAAATATTATAAGTTGCTTGTGTACTTGTGGCCTCCAAATCTTCAGATATGTCGACCTACGAACGAACGGGCCAACACAAATTCTTCCTTCGAAGTTCACATTTAAGGGTTGTCTCTCATTTTCATTTTTCGTCAGGTTGGGTTGGGTTGGGTCTTAGATATGTTTTTGGGTGATGGTTGTGTTTATGATATGAACTTAACTTCTGACTTGTGGGAGGGCTGGGTTTGCAGAACATCATGAGGCAAACCATGAAGTTGGTGAACCAGTTTGGGGTAATAGTTAACACATACATATGATAATTTTGTTGAACATTTTAAAATTGCAATTGGAGGGGTTAATGAATAGGGATGTCTAATTGGGGTGGTAAGCCGATATCGATGGATCAAAAGAAAAAAAAAGTTTCTAGTTGGAATGCTTGACTTAGTAGGACATGATTTCTTTCAGCCAATTTTTTTTCTTCTAAAGAGCCACAATGTGTTTTTTTTAAACGACAACCTATACTACTCCTAATATAATTCTTAAACACCACCTATGTCTCCTAATGAGACCTGAACCTATGACATTTCATTTGAGAGAGTTATTCCTTACCGGTAGACCAAAAACCATTTGATATCAGGGTGGTAAAGGGTGTGGTTTTACCACGCATATGCGTGTCACATGGCACTAACACCATTAGGTGTAAAAAAATCACATCTAACAATGATGACATTTTTAAATTTTATTTATTATATCCATTTGTATATTGAATTCTATAAATCTCAATCATTGTATCCGGCTTTTCAAATAACAACAAGAATACTATCTATCAAACTTGGATTACCGAATCTTTAAGAAATACACAATCCGCATACAACAAGCAACATAATGTACTTTATTTACATATAAACATATAATCTCGTCTCGGTTCTTTCTTAAAGTACAAAACGTAAACGCAATCCAGCACACCCCAACCTGTCTCACAAGTCACAAATCACAATATGCCTAAATGAAACAATGTGATGGATCGACTTAAACTTGACTCAATGCTTAGGCTAAATGACTAAATTTATTCAAAATAGCATACAAACTTTATAAGTTGAAATCTACATACATAAACCGCTCGTTGAACTGCAAGAAATTTATCTTATATAAACAAGGAGATTTCACCCGAGCAATTTATTTACGTTCAATCCATGTTTTTTTTTTCTTTCCTTTTCATGATATTAGAAAAATAAAAATAAATAAACATTTTTATTGCATATGGTTTTGAATATGAGTTGACTTTGACTTTGGAATGTAGAATTGTTAATTATGGTGGTGAAAAGAGGGAGCAAATGCTTCTGAGAAGATCCACACGAGACTCAAGTAAGGAGATGTGAGCTGCGATTCTCTGGAACAAGGTTTCCATGTCTATCCCTTCAACTCCTCCACCGGGTATGATCCTCTGTAGCTGCCTTAGCTTCCTTTCCATGGACTTGCGGTTATCATTAATCTTGAACACCACCATTACCGGCTTCTTTTTCCTCCGTCCACCAGAGCTCCGGCCAACCACCACTCCTCTTCTCCATACTCCCATTTTCTCTCTCTAACTTTTTCTCACACACTAAGATGAGAGAAAAACGGAAATATACG